ACATGAGTGAGTGAATGAGTGAAGGGGTGAATACATGAGTGAGTGAAGGAGTGAGTGAATACATGAGTGAGTGAATGAGATAGTTACTGAGTGGGTAAATGAGTGAGTGAGTGAATGAGTGAATAAATGAAGGAGTCATGGAGCCAGCGAGTGAGTGAATCCTGAGAGACGCTCCTCCAAGATTGAGGAGAAAGAAGCAAAAACCAGCCAGAGGCAGGTCCAAGGACTCAGCCGCTGGGGCACCCCCCCCGCCCGCCGCATCCCGCGTCCCCCAAGGGCAGAGGCTGACCTGGCCGAGGGCGGCGAGGGCGCAGGACTGTGTCTCAGCCGCTGGGGCACCCCCACCCCGCCCCCCGCGTCCCGCGTCCCCCAAGGGCAGAGACTGACCTGGCCGAGGGCGGCGAGGGCGCAGGGCTGTGTCGGCGCCAGCCTGGAGTCCACCAGCCCGCCCGGCGGCGGCTCCTTCCCGGGGATGCTGTTGTAGTAACTGTGCTCCGCGGCCTCCTCCTCGTCCCCCCAGGCCGACTCCTCCGGCCCCGCCAGCCTGGGGGACCGACAGCAAAGGCCGTGGGGGGACAGGCAGGTGCTGCGGGGGTCACCCTTGCAGCTTGAGTTTCTGGGGGGCCGAGAAGACCTGAGTTCAAATCCCAGTCCCCACTGTCGGCTGAGGGTTCCCGCCAGGAAACGCTTCTAGAGCGCGTGACCGTACCCACGACTTCCTCATCTGTGAACTGGAATCTTGCACACATTTCTGAGCCGCAGCACAGTGGGCAGGTCACTGGCAAACCTGGTCTCCAGTGCTGCCCACCTTCGGCCCTGCCCGGCGGCAGAGGGCATGAGCCAAGCTGATACCCAGAACCAGGACACCACCCCAGGGTGGCACGTCTCTGGGATCAGAGCGCCCCTGCCCTCCGGCCCAACAGCGCTGGCAGAAATGTATCCTGCAGGCGCCCCTCAGGAAGCCAAAGAGGGTGCCCCCTGCCTGGCCCGCAGTCGCTGACGGGTAACTCACAGGGCAGCCTACGGAAGGCGGAGGCCGCCCCAGAGGCAGGCGAGGGTCCGTCCCAGCTCTGGAGCGCGCCGTCCCCGTGCACGAAGGGGCGAGACCGGGCACGCGTGTGACGCCGCCTCCCTCGTGACCAGAGGGGCCGGGAGCTCACGTGCCTGCACCTGCCCCCCCACCGTTGGAGGGACCTGACTTTCTAATGATGAACGGACACTTAAATAGCTCCTTCTCCCGGCCCGGCTGGCAAACCCCAGCCCAGGGCCAAATCCAGCTCACTGCCTGGCTCTGTTTGGCCACGAGCTAAGAATGGGTTTTAAACCTTTAAATCATAAAAGTTTAGTGTCTGAGAAAACACCCAGAGAATAACATTTGGCAACATGTGACAGTTACGTGGCATCCACATTGCAGCGTCTATGAATAGCAGGCTGCCCCCTCACTGCCACGTCCCCCCTTATGCATCTTGTGGGAAACGGAGGCCGTTTGCTGCCCTTCGCAGGAGCCAGCGGCCGTCTGGAGGAGGGATATCAGTAACAGCAGCCGGGCCGACAGCCTCGGGCACACTCAGGGGTCAGCTGCTCACGTCTCCCTGAAACCCGGGGGTCTCCCTGAACCCCGGGGGGCCGGGATGCTTCAACTCCGGTTTTACAGCAGAGGAAGGACAGGCAGGGAGGGACCAGGGCAGGCGGGGGCTCAGGCCCGCAGGGGGTGGGGCGGGCTCTGCACCTGGGCAGGTCCCTGGGGGTCCCCGGGGCGGGGTGGGGGGTGGGTCAGTTACCTTTCCGGGGGCAGGGCCACCTTGGGTGGGCTGTGCAGGTATTGCTTGAAGCGCAGCTCAAAGGCTTGGCCCACGGTACTGATGACACTCTGCGCCAGGCCCTCACAGCACTCCAGGATGTGGCAGGCTGCGGGGTCACGTGGGTCAGGCGGCCACGCGGCCACACCCCCAGCCACACGGCCACGCGCCCCCACCGGCCGCCCCACTCCGGGGCCTCACCTCTCTGGTTGATGGGGTCCTTGGCGACGTAGGCCACGTAATCCGTCATGTCCTGGGGGTAGGGAGGGGCCAGCTGAACCTGCCTGGGCCCCCCACCAGGACTCCCAGCCGCCCACCCCAGCGATGCACAGAGAGGCGCGGGGGTGTGGGCAGAGGGTACCGGAGGCGGGTCTGGGAAAGGGCCAGAGGGGGCAGCGGGCTGCAGGTCCACCCCCATCCCCAGCCTCACCGTGTCTCCGCCGGATGCAAAGGAGATGGATGGCATGTGGTGGGTGGCGATGACCTGTGGTGGCAGGAAGGGCGTGGTCACGGGGGTCCCGCCTCCGGGGCAGGGGCACACGTACGCACACTCAGACCCATGAGCAGCCACACTTGACACACGCACCTGCCCACTCACACACCCCACACCGACACACGTGTGCACGCTCACATTCACACACCCTGAGCACCCACACTTCACACGTGCACTGCCCAGATGCTCACACACACACCGACACACGTGTGCACACACACACACCCCGAGAACCCACACTTCACACACGTACCTGCCCAGAAGCTCACACACACACGCCACAAGCCCTGACACACAAGTACACTCACGCACACGACCCAAGCAGCCACGGGAAAGCCGGCCCCACACGCCTGACACCCTCGTCCATGTGCAAGGGTAGCGGTGAGCTCAGCTCATCTACATGTTCATTTGCATGCCTGTTTCGCGCTCATTGGCGTGGTCCCTCTTCATTTGCTTCCCGTCACTCAAGTCCCTCTGGGCCCCACTGAGCCCCGCTACGCAACAGCCCCTCCTCAGCCCCATGGGGACCCTCCAGGCTCTCCCCTCGCCAACCCCGGCCCAGCCAGGAGGGTCTTGGAGCCTCGGTGTCCTGTCTGCGTGGTGGTCGGGGTCTATGCCCACAGCGCGGGAGCAGAAATGAACCTGCACCGCGACGGCCCTCAGCCACCGCCCCCCACCGGCTCCACCCTTCTCCAGCCTCCTCCCTGAAGCCCCCACGCCAGCCCAGGGATGCTGCCCAGCCCCAAACCCCTCACCGTGACCCCTGCTAACTTCTCCTACAGGGAGATGCCTCCTCTCTCAGCCAGGCCTCCTG